TTATGGTGTGCACACCAGTGTAGGTGCCTTCAGAGGCCAGAAGAGGGAGCTGGATTCCCTAGGGCTGGGCTTGCAGCTTTGCGCACTACTGATGTGGATCCTGCGAACAGAACTCAGGTCCTCTAGAAGAGCAGGAAGCACTCTTAGCCTCTGAATTATGTTGTGTTTGCTTTAATATTGTCAGAGAACTAGTGAAAGAGGAGATTATTGAATAGAAACTATGAACTGAACTGAAAAGGAACCCGCTTTACAGTTAAAGAGAAAAGAAAAGAACAAATTTTTGGGGATAGTGTTCATTGGTAATGCACTTCTATAAAATGTACAAGGCCTGGGTTCGGTGCCCAGAACCAGAAAAACCAACTGTTCTGAGTGTTACAGATGTGCCTGCTGAAGAAGGCTGGCGATGCAGGTTAGCTACTCTGTGACCATGACCAAGGCAATTTCTAAGAGAACGGATTCATTTGGGCACATGGGAGGCATGGTGGGCAGAGTATGAGGCAGCCAAGTTTGTCTATAGTCAGGAGGCAGAGGGAGATGAATTATGAAGCAGCTGGCTTCATCCTTCCCTTCTTACTCAGCCTGGGGCCCCAGCCTCTGGGACAGTGCCACCCAGAGTCTGGCTGGATCTTCTTTAGTTAACCTTCTCTGAAGCTGCCTCAGAAACATCCGGAAGTGTGCCTCCTTCGTGGTTCCTTATCCAGTTGAACTGATGGTGAAGATAAAGCATCATAGACTCTTCCAACCTCATTTGCACCCTGAATTTTATGAGCTCTCCTCTCCCCTCAAGGAGGGGATGCTGGGATAGCTGGTGTGTGCTACCATGCTCAGCTCCTTCTGTAGACTTAACTTGAATATTAATAGACAACCTCTTGGAGGAAGGTAGAAGGGTAAGGAAATTAGTTTGGCTACAACTAATTGGGACCAGTTAGGGTTTTATTCTTTATTTTTGGTTTTTAAAGGGTTTCTCTCTTGCTTTGGAACCTGTCCTGGAACTAGCTCTGTAGACCAGGCTGGCCTCGAACTCACAGAGATGGGCCTGCCTGTGCTCCCCACTGCTGGGCTCAAAGGTGTGTATCACCAATACCCAGCACCACTTAGGCTTTTTTCTTAGGTTGGCTTTTGTTATTTTGTTTTGTTGACCAAACCATTGTCATTTTCAACATTAGTATATGGTGGAAAGTCTCTAATTTCCTGTAAATTTTCACCTGTCTCATATATACTTTCAAATTTCATCATCAGAAAGGAAGAAGCAAGTTCACATATATAGTCAGGTTATGAGATGGTATTGGGGCTTGAACCCTGAGCTTTGTGCATGCTACACAAGCCCTCTACCAACTGAGCTCCAATGATCTTGTGATTTCTCTCTAAGGAGAACTAACTAACTGATTATACACCAGCCTTCCATGTTCCTGAACACAACAATTGGGAAATTCTTGAGTATTATTGTCCTAGTTGATTCATGAACACTGCTTTGCACAATATCACCACTCTGTGAATGTTTGGCAATTAAATGTTGGTTATTGGTTAAACAAAACAGTTTTTACAACAGCCGTCTGACCACGCATGTGCGTGTGTGTTGCTGTATAGCAGAATATTAGCCTGTGACTGTTGTCTTTGATAACATCCCTCCATATTCTGTTTCCAGTTTCATGCTTACTTTGCCAGCATACTATTTTTTTTAAAGATTGTTTAGACAGCTTCTCCCTCTAACCCAGGATGAGTGGAACACACTACATAGCCCTGACCAGCCTTCAACTTAAAGCAAGTCCTCCTGCCTCAGACTCCAAACTGGTGGAATTACATGTGTGAACCATTAAGCTGGCCATCACAGGCTTTGAATTTGGCATTGTATTGGCACATCCATAGAGTTGGGTTCCTCAGTTAAAAGGTTAGACCTGCTTTGTGCTGCCAACAGAACCCTCCAGAACCTTCCCCTCCACCCCAGAAAGTCCCCAGGACTTTCCTGTTTTAATTCCAGTTTTGCTCTGAGACTGGGGCATAAGTAAGTGTCCTTAGCTGTTTTCCTGTTTCCTTCCAGCACTCGGCTGGCCTCTTTATTGCAGGGATTTGGATAATTAATTTAGACAAATAGAATGGGGCTCTAAAATAACAAATAGCAATGATGTAATTAAGTTTCCAGCTGGTTTCAGGGTTGGACCAGTCCTTATGGAGTTCCCTACTGATTTTCTCCTGTGCTACAAAGGGAGGCATGGAGGAGTACTGGAGTAGAGGGCCGCGCTCCTGAGAGGGCTCGCCCAGCACCTCCTGCAGATCACTGGAGTGTCACCGGGCTAGTAAGACAAGCCTCACAGCTGAGCCAGGACCCTGGACTCACATGGGAAGTCTGACTTCAAAGCCCTGATACTGCATCTGGAAGGTTTCCTTTTGTGGATCATACTGTCATTTGAAAACATTTTTTTTTTAAGTGGGGTGTATGTGGATGGGTGCCTGTGCCGCATTGCCCGTGTGGAGGTCAGAAAACAACTGGCAGAGGACACTTTTTGCTACTGGATAATTCACTGACCGAATTAAACAAGGAGCCAGATGGGTTTTGTTGCTGCTGCTGTTTAGACATAGGGTCTCACTATGTAGCCTTGACTGGCCTGTAAACAAGGCTGGTCTTAAACTCACAAAGATCCTCCAGCCTCTGCCCCCTGGGCACTGGGATTAAAGGGGTGTTCCACCACGATGGGCTGGAGGGAGGGCTTCAAGATGGTATGCCATTTACATCTGTGCTCTTTCAACTGCATATTCTCTTTGTGTTGGTCCTTCCTTTCCCTTCACAGCCTCCTGGTGGGTCGGGCTAGACAATCCAATACTGCTTCCATGGTGCCCATTTCTCCCCCTTGGGATCTTCATGGCAGAAAGAATCACACTCCTTTTGAGACAGGATCTTATGTAGATCAACTGGTAAACTGTGACAGCATTGGGGTTGATCTTGATCTGTGGACCCTCCTGCTGTCACCTTCCAAATGCTGGGATTATAGGCATGGACCACAGCATCCCGGGCTTTGTGAACAAACACTCCATCAGCTGAGCTACAGGGCACCACAGTATGATTTACTCATGGGAACTTTGGGAATTCCCAGAAAACTCTATTGGGCAATTTCTCCTGATTGCTATGTCAACTTTCTGACAGTGTTCTGAGCAACTGCAATTGTGCCTGGGTTGTGTAGGAGGGAGCCTGTGTTGGAAATGGTCCTGTGATCTTTCTTGCAATGTTACCGTAATTGCCCTGTCATCACAGAAAAGTTTTTGTTTTGCTTCTCAGCTTTACTGAGGTGATACAGTGTGACTCATACAGTGTATGATGGTTGATGAATCGCATCAATTGTTCACAGCATGTAACAACACCACATGGAGATCTGGAACAGTTGGTTCCCTTGCCCTGAGAAATCCTTTCCTGCCCTTTACAGTTAGTCTCTCTGTGGCTAGCCCCATCAGCCCCATCTGCTTCTGGCATCAACTTTGGGATTATACAGCTAGAGCTCTTTCACTTGCAGAAAGGGTATGGCTTTTATTTTGCCTGTCTTGTCCCATTGCCACTGTCAACTAACTGCCATTTGCTGGTGTAAGGCACCAGTATGTCTTGGCATTTTGAATAATATATGAAATTCACCAATGTGGCTAAGATGACCCAGAATTCCTCCTCCTTGGGATTTCTGAGATTACTGGTATGTACAACCATGTCTCGTTTATACAGGGGTGGGGATGGAACCAGATAATTCAAATTGGAGCCATTGATGGTACCTTTGGATTTTTTTAAAGATTGATTTATTTATTATGTATATAGTGTTCTGTCTGCATATATGTCTTCAGGCCATAAGGGGTGCCACCATATGGTTGCTGGAAGAACAGCCTGTGCTCTTAAACTCTGAATGGTCTCTCCAGCCTGGAAATTTTTTTAGTTGAACATTTGAACCATTGTAGCTGGGAGGTAGAAGATCACTCCTTTAATCCAGGCACTCAGGAGGCAGAGGCAGACATATTTCTATGTTCTACAAAGAGTTCCAGGACAGCCAAAGAACAGAAAACAAACAAAAACCATATTCGTAAAGAATACTCTTAAAAGGATACACTTTCAGGACTGGCATGGTGGGCCCAACTTCTAATAATAGAAATTAGCAGAAAGGCAGGTGTCTGGGTCTGAGGCCAGCTTCATCTATACATTACATACCAGCCAACCAAGACTACAAAAACAGACAAGAAAAACCAGAATATACTTTCAGCTGGGGTTAGTGATGTTAGAGTTTAGACTGTTGGAGGTAGAGAGTTAGTGAAGAACTGAAGTTCTTAGTTTCATTCATATAAGAATTTAGGCGAGGGGAGAAAGCCATGCTTTCTGAGTTAGGATCCAACATATTCAGCAAACGGTCACACGGAGCAGCAGAGGCAGAAAACGCAGACTACCAAGGAAAGCATGCCTGGAGTTTGGAAGGAGGAAAGAGAAAAAGTTAGGTTTTTCAGGGTAACTTGGGGAAGTGGAAACCAAAGGAGACTACTTCCAGGGTGGGAGTTTCTAAGAGGGAAAAGCATAGTACCTACCACTTTAAGGCGGACAATCATTCCTCCCATCTTACCATGGCGTGAGGGAATCAGCCTCTCTGAGATGGTTGTTAGGCCCCACTGCTTTGGGTCTCATGCAGAGCTGTGGTAGAATTTAGCTTCTGGTCTTTTTACCTGTGAAGAGTTGAACGGACCTGTAAGAGCCCTGTCCTCCTCCGCCTTCTTCTTTGAGACAGGTCTCATTGTGTGTCTCTGATTGGCCTGGAACCTGCTGTGTTGACCAGGTTGACCTTGAACTCCCAGATCTGCCTGTCTGTTTCCTGAGTGCTAGGATTAAAACCGTGAACCAATATGTCTAGCTATTTTTTTAAGTTATGTGCATGTGTCTGTGTGTGGTTGTGTGCCCATGTGAGTGCCAGAAGAACTTGGGTCCTCTGGAAGTGTGACCTCAAGTGCTGAGTCCTTCCTGATGTTACTCTGTTTGTTCTGAGTAGGTTCTGCCGATCCTGTCTTGCAACCAGTATAAAGAATAATAAGTGGACATGTCCATACTGCCGGGCATACCTTCCTTCAGAGGGAGTGCCAGCAACTGACATAGCCAAAAGAATGAAGTCAGAGTACCAGAGCTGTACCGAGTGTGGGACCCTGGTGAGTAACATAACCCACATTCGTGATTACAAGCCAAGTTTCCCAGTGAAATTATCATTCTTCCTGCTCCATCTCTCCAGCTCCCCTGCTTTGGGGACAGGGTCTCATGCTGTAGCCCAGGGTGGACCTGAGCTTGCCATCCTCCTGCCTCTGCTTTGGAAGTGTCAGGGTTACCAGCATGCCTACCGCATCAGCTCCTTTGGTGTTCTTTTATTCATAGCTCAGAGAGATCGAGCCCCAGGCTTCCTGCATGCTAGGTGGCTGTTGTACCTCTGACCACAACCCCAGCCCTCATTTTTACTTTTGCTTCTGAGACAGAGTCGTTGAGTAGTACCTGCGCTAGCTGTGAACTTCCTATCCTCACAGTCGCTTACATTGTAGACTTGGCCCACCAGCCTTTTAAATCTTCTTTTGGAAACTTTTACTTGACTCTTCTGTTTTCTTACCATCAACCAGAGCTGGAAAATAAATATGGAATTAAAAAATGCCTTTAGTCTCAGCTTACTGGAGGCTGAAGTAAGAGGGTCTGCTGTATGTTCAAGGCTAACCCAGTCTACATAACAAGTTGCAGTCAAGCCAGGACTGTTGTTGTCAGAACAACAACAACAAATGCCCCAAACAAAAAGTCAAGCTTTGCCAGAAGGTGGTGGTGAATGCTTTTTTAATCCCAGCACTTGGGATGCAGAGGCCAGCCTGGTCTACAGAGGGAGTTCCAGGACAGCCAAAGCTACATAAAGAAACCCTGTCTGGAAAAGCAAAACAAAACAAAGATGAGATGGCTCAGAGCTTAGAAGCATTGGCTGCTCTTCCAGAGGTCCTGAGTTCAATTCCCCAGCAACCACATGATGGCTCACAAGTATCTGCGATGACATCTGGCGCCCTCTTCTGGCTTGCAGGCATATATGCAAAGAATGTGATTATTCTCCTACCTTGCCTCAGAGCCTGGAAATAGCTGAACATCGTCCCCACTCCCTCCCTGTGACCCGGAAGGAATCACCTCTGACTAAATGGTCTCTCAGATTCTCAGCCCCCAACAGTGACTGATTTGATTTGGCTCCCTGCACCCCACTTCTCAGAGGCCCTTGCCTCCTATTAGGCTCCTTTCCTGTTGCCATCTTTCCCTAGGGACCTGTATGGTCACACTCCATGTGCCAGCCACTGCCAGGGCTCTTGAGGCAAGGACACACGGGGATCTTGGCATCTCCTTTAACTTTGTACCCAGCACTGGTTCACTAAGGCCTTGGTAAAAGACATTTCTAAGTGTAAAGCTAAATAATCTATCATGGCCACCTGACCAGAATTTATGAAGTGTCCTTTGGGAGCAAGCATCCTGGGACCCAGAACTAATTTTCTCACTTGCTGTTTCTGACTTTGGCACAAATACACAAATTGTGTGTTTATTTTTATTAATTAATTTTATGTGTGTGGGGAGCACACATGGACAAACTTATACCATGGTTGTCTATCTAAAACAGCAGCATTCTCTCAGGTCCTGGGTGGAGTCCCTACCTGATTCTCATCTCTGCTATCTGACCAGTCAGGATTTTGGTTAATGTTTGAGGAACTCTCTCTTGCTTTCTAGGCTGTTCTTCTGTCCAGGAGGGCTGCCTGTTCCTTTACAAGTTCCAGCTTTGTGGACCTCACTGTCCAGGCCGATTCTCCTCTCCATGCAGCCTGGCTGTAGTGTTTGGAGTGGAGTACCTCTCAAAACATCTTAGCTGCCTGTCTGCACATATTTGTTCCTCTATTTGATTATCTGCAACTTTAGAACACACAAGAGGCTCATTCTTTACCATCTCTTCAATGGTACTTTATCTAATTTCGTGTGAGTGTCTAGATTATACATTTATCAATCTACTTATATGTCAACGTACAATCAATCCCCTGGTTGATTTTTCTAAGGAAAGCTTATCTTTCTTGAACAAAGAATATGGTTTTTTTTTGAAACAGAGTCTTAGCCTAGTCTAGCCTGAAACATGTGATCCTCCTGCTTTAAATCCTCCTCCCAAACCCTGAGGGTTATGTGTGTACCACCACACCTACTGTAAGGCGAATTTTTTCTCTTCCCTCCCTCCCCCTCCCTACTTTTCTCTCTTTCTGTTTTTTGTTGATTGTTTGTTTGTTTTGAGGCAGGTCTCACTCACTCTGTAGGTGGTATGGGTCAGGTTGACAGAGGTCACTTGCCTTTCCCTCTCAAGTGCTGCTATTAAAGATGTTATGTATGTATGTACATAAAACATATTACATTTATATATGTACATATATATTTATACATGATTAAGCTAAGTAAAGAAAAGCCATGTGAAAATAGGAGTCTTAAATTTTTATTTTAGTTAAGAGTGTGTGTGTGTGTGTGTGTGTGTGTGTACCAACAGGCACACATAGGCACAGCTTGCATGTGGAATCCAGAGTATATCTTATAGGAATTGTACTTTGTGAGGGCCTGGGATCAGTTGTCAAGCTTAGTAGCAGGTGCCTCTACCCACTGAGCTATCTCAGCAGCCCCCAAAGTAGATGCTGTAGGTTATAAACATTTCTTTCCTCCTACTCCTTCTCTTACTCCTGTGCCTTCTCCCCAGCCTTCATCCCCCTCACAGGCGTGGTCTCTCTGTAGAGCCCAGGCTGGCCTGGAACTCAAAGATCTGCTCACTGCTGGGTTTGTACCTTTAATCCTAGCACTCAGGAGGCAGAGCCAGAAGGATCTCTGAGTTAGAGGTCAGCCTGGTATATAGAGCTAGTTTGAGGACAGCCAGAGTTACACAAAGAAACCCTGTCAAAAAAACATGCACCACCATGTCTTTCTAAGACAATTACCTTGATCGGTCCTCCTTTTTTAATATTTTGTCACTGTTTTTGTGTTCTTGCTAACTTTTGCCTTTTGTTAAGGACTGTGGCTATTTCTGTCATGCTGTATTTTTTGAAACTGAACTGGGCAGCAGGGGCTGGCTGTTTCCTCCACCAGGGCATCTTACCGGTGTTTGTGATAAAACTGAGTGGAGTGTGCACTGTGCTGTCAGCATAGCCCTCTGTGGTGCTGCAGAGTAAGATGAAGATGGACTCCAATGCTTAGGTCTGACGGCACTAGGAAGTACATTGGGCATTGTGAACTCAGCCCTGCCAGCCCTACCACGAACTGCTGCACTTATGACTGCACCAAGGTGTGAGGGCTCCTTTACTTTATGATGGACACTTGCAAAATGCGTACATTACATCGTCTTCACTCTCCGTCTCTATTCTTACTCTTTCCTCTTCAAGTTTCCCTTTTGTCCAAAACCTGTCTGCAGAACAGAATGCAAAAAAAAAAAAAAAAAAAAAAAACCTTTGTTAGTACTCATCTTTTTTTTTTTTTTTTTTTTTTTTTTTTTTGCCTTTTAAAAAACAGTATTTTTAAAGGGAGGAACAAATTTAAAAGCTCAACATTGAAAGTTTCTGAAGTGTTAGGAGATTTAAAACACAGTACATTGTTATTGTTGTTAATATTACTACTACTACTACTACTTGTTGGTTTTTCCAGACAGGATTTGTCTATGTATCCCTGGCTGTCCTGGAACTCTATCTGTAGTCCATGCTGGCCTCAAACTGGTATCTGCCTGGCTCTGACTCTTAAATGCTGAGATTAAAGGTATGCTCATCTGGCTCAGCACTATTCTTGATGCCTGTACTTTGTGACTATTTCATGAATAAATCCAATTAACTACTGCCCCAAGGTAACCCGATTTGAAAGTCATGGAGCTAGGTCACATAAAGGCCCTTTCCAACAGGAGTTTTATCTTGAATTTACCTTTGTGTAGGTTTGCCTCAGTGACATGAGGACACACATAAGGACTTGTGAGAAGTACATCGATAAATATGGGCCACTGCAAGAACTTGGCGAGACAACAGCAAGGTTTGTTTGAATACAGTGTAATGTCATGCTAAATTCAGTATATGTATGAAGAGTTTAAGTTTAGCACTTGGGAAGCTGACGCAGGATTCTTATGAGTCTGAAGCCATCCTGGGCTATACATGAAAGTGCGCTCAAAATTGAATTTGAACATCTCTTTTTTTAAAAAGACCTCTTTAGTTTTTATTTTATGTGTACCATGTGCATGCAGTACCCACAGAGGTCAGAAAAAAGTGTCAGATAACCACTACGTGGGTATTCGAATTTGAACCCAGGTCATCTGTAAGAACAGCTGGTGTTCTTAACTGCTGAGCTATCTCTCTAGCCCCGAACATCTCTTTGGTTTTTTTTTTTTTTTTAACAGTGGGTGATTTTGGTACACAGCTCCCATCTTTTTTTTCTTAATGTTTGTGTGTATGTATGTGTGCCTGAGTGGAAGTAGGAAATATGTTGGATTCCCTACTGGAGTTACATGGAGTTGTGAGCCCCCTTGTGGGTGTTTGGAACTGGGCCTGAGCCTTCGGTAAGAGCAGCAAGTCCTTTTAACTCCGAGCCATCTCTGCAGCCTCCAGCTTACACATTTTAACCTAAAAGTCTGAGGCTTGCTTTTTATTTTACTTGAAATTGCCTTGCTAATGTACCTACTATTGCAGGATTTATTTTATCAATGATGCCATCAATTTTAAATGAATATTTTTGCTAAGCGGAGTTAAGATTCTGTTAGACTGACCAGTAGGGAAGAAGAAAGGCTAAATATGGGTGGCTTTGACTGCAAGTTGATTGAGTTTATAAAAATTTTAAATATACAGAAACTAATTTAAACTCTAATTTCGTTTGCTGGTTAAAATTATAGCAAAGACTATATAAACATAGCTATGTTTGGTGGCACAGACTATAATTCCAGTACTCAGGAGACCAAGTCAGTAGGATCAGCAATGCAAAGCTAGTCAATGCCACATAGTAACTTTGAGGACACCTTGAACCATGCAGTAAAACAAACAAGATGTCAGCCCAGTGTGGTGACAAACGCCTATAACCACAGCATTCGAGGAAGATGAGTCAGATGGATTGCTCAGGAAAGCCTGAGTTACATAGCAAGACTCTTGTCTCAAAACTAATGAAAAGCAAGGCATGTGGTGGTGCATTATCATAATCCCAGCACTTAGGGGTTAGAAGCAGGAGGACCAAGGTAAGCCTGAGCTATATAGTGAGACCCTGGCCCCTGACAAAAAGATACTAACCTAGTAGGTGGCTACTCTCCGGCTGACAACTGTTTTAGTGGTTTAATTTATTCTCTGCTGTCTCCAGGTGTGTATGTCCATTCTGTCAGAGGGAACTGGATGAAGACTCTTTGCTAGATCATTGCATCATCCACCACAGATCAGAAAGGAGGCCTGTGGTAATGATTCTTCCCTACCACCTGTCTGCCTCTCTGTCTGAATAGAGTTTCTGAATCTAAGATATATTAGAATCTGGGCATCGTGGCTCATGCCTGTAATCTGAGCACTTGTGAGGTAAGGAAGGAAGGATGGATGCTGCAGGGCTGAGGCCAGCCTGAGCTGCATAGTACATTCCATGCCAGCACTTACTTGTTTTCTAATTTTTGAAGTTACACATTTTTGTATCTGTGTGCTCACACAAAGCTCCCCTAGGAGACAGAGAACTTTGGGGAGTCTCTTGGGAGAGAACTTTTGCCGTCACTGGCGTCAAGTGCCTTTACCCACTGAGCATCTCACCAGCCCCGAGAAATTACGTAACGTGTTGCTGGCCATGGTGGCAGATACCTTTGGAAGGGAGAAGAAGGTGGCTCTTTGTAAGTTCAAGACAAATCTGATGTACATAGGGAGTTCTAGGCTAGCGAGTTCTAGGCTAGGCAGGTCTACAACAGTGGAATCCTGTAATTTATTTTTAATTCTTAAGGAAACGCTTATGAAAAACTAAATGCATAGGATCTCACCATGCAGCCCTATCTGGCTGTAAATATATATATTTTTTTAAATATTGAGATAGGAAGTGTAGTAATAGAAGGTGTTTAAGGCCAGACTTGGCCACAGTGGATTCAAAACTAGCCTGAGCTACATGAGAAACTAAAACAAAAAAAAAAAAAAAAAAAACAAAAAATAAATAAAAAACCAGTGCTAGGAAAATGGCTTAGTCAGTAAGGCACCTCAACGCAAGCAGGAAGACCTGGGTTCTGAGATGGTGTGGTACATCTGGAGTCCCAGGACTGTGAGTTGACCTAGCCTAATTGCTTAGCTCCAGATTCATTAAGAAGCTCTGAAGAGATGGCTCAGGGCAGAGGTCTGGGTAAGCCCAGAGGTCTCAGCACCTATGTGACAGTGTCCAGCAATCTAACTTCAGCTCCTGGATATCTGATGCTCTCTTCTGGGTTCTATGGGCACTAGGCATGGATGTGGTACACATATCATATGCAAACATTCACACACGTAAAAGTCAATAAACCACTTTTTAAAACCCTTAAAGACTGAATGGCACCTTAAATACATAAAGTGGAAATAAAAAATAAAAATAATTTAAGAACACGAGGTGGAGAACAATTGTGGAAGACACCTGACATTGACCTCTGACCTTCACATGAACATATACAGACATGACCCTGCACATGTACATGCAAACACAAGAGCACATGCATACGTGAAACTAAACAAACAAAATGCAATGTTGAGGTATGTCCAATGGATTCATAGTTAAAAGTCACATTCAATGGTGACTTCCCTTTTAAAATTCTGGAATTAGTAATTATTTGAACTATTTATTGGTCTTTTTTTTTTTTTTCTAGTTCTGCCCGCTTTGCCATTTACTACCTAACGAGAGCCCAAGTACCTTCAATGGCAGCTTAATTAGACATTTGCAAGTCAGGCACACTTTGTTTTATGATGATTTCCTAGTAAGTATATTCCTTTTACATTTTGTTTTTTGTGCTGTCTGTGTTAAGTTTACCTTTTAAAATCCCCATGAATAAAATTATACAAGAAAAATTGAGCATGTGGGTATAATGTTCAGATTAGTATTAAAGAGAATGTCATGTCAGAGTAGCATTCACTACTAATATCAAGGTGGTCTTCTTTAAACAGCTGTGGTGATGTACACCTTTGATCCCAGCCCTGGGAAGACAGAGGCAGGCAGAGCTCTGAGTTCAAGGCCAACCTGGGCTACTTAGTAAGTTCAAGGCCAGCCAGAGCTACACAGTAAGACACTGTCTCAAACTAAAACCATAGAATGGACTTCCAATAGTAATTTCACCTTTTGTTTAAAAGCAAGAGGAACTGGAGAGGGATAGGGTTCTTGATGCATAAAGAAGCAAGAAGAGCATTTGTAAATCAGTAATTAATAGAACTGTTAGTATTTTGAATGTTAGGAGTGGTCTTTATTCCCCAGTACGAGAGACCCCCCCAAGTATCTTGCCTACTCTAGGAAAATGCTGTCATTTAACTGTGACCCCCCCCAAACTATCAGGAATGTGTAAACTTTATTCCAAGTATATATGAAATATAGAGAATGTCCTTACCTGACAAGGCTTTCTTTTATAAATCTTAAGGTTTTAATTTACTTTTTACTTATATGTATATGTGTATGTTGTGGAGGAGGGGTTGTTTGTTCAGTGAGGTTAGAAGTGGACATCAGATTCCCTAATGATAAGCCACCTGATAATATGGTATTGTAGAGTTTGAGACCACCAGGAAAAGACTTCTATACCAAGATTAGATGGTCAAGGTGACCTCAAAATAGTCCTTGAATGTCTGTACAAGCAAATTACAGAAGCCAAAACCAGCAGTTAGTTAGAGCATAACAAGCTCATGGTCACGGTTGTACATTTCTGGTGGGGGTTAAGGAGTCAGAGTTTCTGAGAACTTATCTTCCAGGAGCTTGAGTCAGAGACAAACAGCTATTAGGTACCAAGGTGGATGCCTAGCACAAAATGGAGTTTCTTCAGCCATCACAGTGGATGCTAGGAAATGAGCTCAGGTCCTCTGGAAGAACAGTTTGCGTTCTTAACACTGAGCCATTCTCTAGCCCAGATGTGTACAATTCTCTATAAACTATTAATAAGATTTGATGGCAATTCCTGAAAGACCAGTGAAGTCAAACAGGAAACAGTAACCTCAAAGTAAGTTCTGGGCCTAACAGGTCTCCTGCAATGATGAACAGGCCTTGTAACTCAGGGAATTTATTTCCTGAAAAATGAGCATTGTGTTGACCCTTGTGCCAACCCCTTCTGTTTCGGAGACACTGCTGACTGTTCCTAATCATTTTTCTATATTGTAGGATTTTGATATAATTGAGGAAGCCCTTATCCGAAGAGTGTTAGACCGATCACTTCTTGAATATGTGAATCACTCAAACACCACATAATTTTATAAGTAGCAAGGGATGATTCACTTGTGTCACTTAAGATGTTGCCTGAAGGACTGGAGGGAAATTGCCAATGCGTGATGATGAAAAATGTACTACAGTGTTACACGATTGTCTTTGTTACGTTGCATTCAAAACCTGCTTTCATTCTGGTTTAGATCTGCCTTTACATTCTTAGACATTTAACCACAGGCAGTAGTCTCCATAAGCTATTAACAGATGGAAGAGACACAGACTGAGTATGTGATGGAGAAGCCCCGCATGCACATTAGTGATACCGTGCTAGGCAAGATAACCAATCTCTGTTCTACGCAAAAGAATGGACCAAAATATGGACATTAAAGGAAATCTGAAATGTATTCAAATCCTGATACTCTACCCAATAAAAGAATGTGAATGATCTTACATGAAAGAAAGAAAAGAATTTGAAGTCAACAGAATCGATTTTAACCAAATTACAGTACATAATATTATAAGAAATTTTGTGTTTGGAATGTGTACTTAGGTGGGCATGGGAGGCGGAAGGGTCAGAAGTGCAAGGCCAACCTTGGTTAATGAGACCATAAAAACATTAAAAAACTGAAAAAAGAAATTTATGTGGACTTAACTATTGACATACCATATATGCACATATATAAATTTGATAGAATATTTTTCAAATATTCGTACCTTATTATTTAGAAGTATTTTATAATATAGGTGATTTCTTAAGACCTATCTGTTGATATTTATGGTTGAAATTTTCACATTGGTAATTTTGAGTGGAACTCCCAAGTTTTGTTTTTAATTTTAACATCTTAAAAAGTATAAAATAAAGCACACATACAAAAAAACAGATACAAAATGTATAGTTTAATGTGTTATTATAAGAAACATTATTGCTCATGGATGAGGTCATGTGTATGCCTGGGAGGCAAAGCATAATTAGTTGCAGGCCTTCTTGGGCTATAGTGTGAGACCCTGTCTCAAAACCAAAGAAGCAAAAGCATTATGAATTCATGTAACATCTATGAATGGACCTTCATCCATTACAAACATCACTTTATTGAGGTTCAACTTCTCTCTCTTTTTTTTTTTTTTTTTTTTTTTTTTGGGCCATTCCTCAAAGGTTGGCTGAGTTGAACATTTTGTTGCCTTCCTTGCTGATTCCTACAGCAAAATCCTCCATGCGGAGTTTGTGTTTGCTACTATGGCTCTAAAATCACCAGCTAGCTTTCTTTCTGTGCAGAATGGTGTTTGAAAGCAAAATCCAAAGCTGGGGATGTAGCCCATGTCTGTCAGGAGTTTCTGTTCAAGTTCTTTCCCAGATACATAGCAAGTCTAAGGACAGCCTAGGCTACACAAGACCTTTTTAATTCCAGATGAAGGCTCTAAGGATAGCCACTGTTGTTAAGATGGGCATTGTTTCAAGGAGAGATTGAGGAAACAGCTGTATGTTTGCTTAAAGATAGAACAGGCTGGTTGGTGGTCATGGTAGCCCAGGATGGCTGCTAACTTGGGACCCTCTTGCTTCAGCCTCCTGTGTGAGCATACAGGTGTGTCCCCCATGCCTGGCAGTTATTCCCCATTTTCAAAATCACTTTTACTCTGCCAACATTTTTTTTATATTCTACTCTCTCCCTCTTATCCCCCCCCACCCTATTTATTCTTCAAGTAATATATATCATCACTGGAGTTTTTCACATGTGATACCTTTTTCTTTTTGGTTTTATGAAATAGGGTTTCTTTGTAGCTTTGGAGCCTGTCCTGGAACTTGCTCTGTAGACCAGACTGGCCTCAAACTCACTGAGATCTGCCTGCCTCTGCCTCCTGAGTACTGGGACACATTTGATTCTTCAATGACACTTTCAGGACACTGATTAGAATTTCCATCTTGACATGAAAAATGTAACAAAGACTTTGACCATCGGCTCCTGAGGGTGAAATGTTATTTGACTTAAAGTTAGCTAGCGGGCTGGTGAGAGGGCTCAGTAGGTAAAGATGCTGCTGCCAAGCCTGACAATCTAAGTTTGATCTCTGTGACCCACATTTGTGAAAAGGAACTCCCACACACAAATAAACATAACACAAATTAAATTGTAATAATTTGTAAGTGTCATTCATTGCACATAAACATTGTCATAACCATGGTGCATGGCACCTTCCCCCTTTTTTTGAGACAGGTTCTCAATATGTATCCCTGGCTGTTCTGGAACTGTGTAGGGCAGACTGCCCTTGAACTTTAAGTGACCTTCCTGCAACCTCCTAACGCTGAGATTTATATGTGATCCACTGGTTTCTAAACTTTCTTTAATGAATTTTCCGTGACTGCTTTGATATTGTTACTGTTTTCCCACCGAGGACAAGGTCACTTAGGAGATATAAAGCCAGGCAGGAAAAAGGCTTCAGGACATCTCTTTCATTCATTCATTAATCATTTGGTGGTAGATTAAATCCAGGAAGTGGTGTGCATCAGGCCAGTGCTGACCCAGGAAGTGATGTACACCTGGTCTGTTAATTTAGAGCCATCAAGTTGTTACACCTCTAAGTTTAAAAGCCCTGGGGTGGTTAAGAGCCCTGGCTGCTCTTCTCCGATGCTGGTTCAATTCTAGCAACCACATGGTAGCTTACAACTGTAACTCCAGCTCCAGGGCATCCAACAACCTCACCCAGACATATATGTAGGCAAAACACCAATGCAAATACAAAAAAAAAAATAAATAAATAAATAAACATTGACAAAAAAAAAAAAAAAAAAAAAAAAACCAAGACAACCTATCTTGGATAACCAAGATAGCTCAGCAGGTAAAATGCTCTCTGCAGTTCTGGCCCCTGAGTTTGTCTGAGTCTGTCTGAGCTCCAGCAGCTCATGGTGGAAGGGAGGACTCAGGAAAGTAGTCTTTTTTCTCCTGCACATGCACTGTGGCATGCTGGTGTGGCATGCCCATGCTCACATCTGCACACATAAAAATAAGTGGAGGCGAGGCTGAAGAGACGGTGACTCAGCAGTTCGGTGTTTGCTGCTCCGTCATGAGGTCCTTGGTCCCAGCACCCATATGGGAAAGACAGCTCACTCCAGCTCTTCTGGCTTCCGCTGATACTTGAGAACACAAGTGTGTGAGCATATGCACATACACACATACAATACTTAAAACTAATAATAATAATAAAAAAAAACCCAACAGCTGAATTACAAATAGGGCATGGTAACTCAAGTCTGTAATCCCAGCACTTGGGAAGTAGAGACAAAAAGATGAGATGCCAGCCTCAGCTACATAGCAAGTTTAGACCAGCTTGGGGGTTATATGTAACTGTCTCAAAAACCAAAACCCTGTGTTGTAAGTACTAAGTTGAAGTCATGCATTATTAACAGTGCATGGACAGCCTTGTCTGTTTGCTTGCTTTTTTTTTTCTTTTTAATTTTGCCACCTATAGGATAAATTCGGTGCTGGCCGCCTGAGTTATTTTGTGTTCTGAATTGCTGCAGTTTGAAAGTGACATGCAAATATCCTTTCACTGTGCTTTATCTTTTTATAGAGTCTGTAATTCATTGCTTTAAAAAGTAAAAACTGGTATTCAAAGTTATTGATTACCAATAAAATTCTTTTGTGTGCTTTTTTTGTAAATACTGCCTTATAATACAACTTTATCAATGAAAAAAAATCAATATTTCAATAATTCTAAAACTAAGTTCTAAACCGCATAGGAAGTGGATTGACTGTGGATCAGTGGTAAAGAGTTAAAGAGTTAGTGCTCCTAACTATGGTAATGTTGGTTCCCTACTGTTACTGGGTATTATGTGTGTTTCATTTCAAAGAGAGCTTACTCCAATTTTTGAATGTTTATCATGATAATTTGTATGCTCATACATTGAAGATATTTTTAAGTACTAAGAGATTCATTCTTTTATTGTTCGAATGTAAAAAGAACTTCTGATCAGAACTTAAAATGTATAATTCTTTTTCTTTTGAAAACTGTATTATTATGAAAAATAAAGAATGGCAGGACCATTGTTTTCATTAAGATATCCACTGTGTATGTGGTTTTTTATTTTTGTGGTACTGGGTATAGAACCTAGGACCTCACACATACTGGTTGAGCATTCTAGTGCCAAGCTACATCCCTGGTCCTCTTCCTTTTTAAGACAGAGTCTAAATTAGTTGCCGGGGCTGTCCTTGAATTGTAAGCCTCTGTTTTAGCCCCTCAAGTAGCTGGGATGACAAGCACGAGTCACCATACACAGATTTTGTTGTTTTGAGACAGGGTTTCAACTTGTAGCCCTGCTGCCCTGGAATTTGCTTACATAGACCTGACTGGTCTTGTACTTGTGATCATTCTATCTCTGCCCTCCCCAACAAGTGCTGGGACTGTAGTCATGCACTGTTATTCCTGGCCAAGTGGGTTAGGAGAAGTCTGCTCCTTTCTTCTTGGAAGTGTTAGGGCAGGAACTCAGGGCATGTGCCCTGCACACTTCCTTTTTACACTGTGAGCTTCAGTGGAGATCCTTGGAACAGCCAACAGGGACACCAGGGTGCTCAGAACACCAAGTTTTCTAAATTGTGCTGTTATGGGTATTTTGGATGTTAGTGATGAGGGACTATCTTCTGCACTGGAGAATACTGAATATCCTTAGTTTCTGCCTACATCCTAAGCCAATATTACACTTTCCAGTTAGGACAATCAAGCATGTAGATAATGACAATGTCTGCTGGAACACAAAATCTCTAGCTGTTAACTCCTGAACTAAATGAAAATGACTTTGGTGGTAGATGTTGCTTAGCCACAATTCAAAACAAAGAGGGTTGCATGTACCTCTGTAAGAAAGCTTGCTTGGCATTGTTGATGGCCACTTTCAGTTACTGAAGGAGTTATGGTCAAGCCTAAGATACACAGGACTCTATCTAAAAAAAAAAAAAAAAAAAAAAAAAGTGCTTCTATATTGCTTTTGGGCTGTGGATGTAGAGGACTTGCCTCACACAAGTCTAGGTCTAATCCTTAGCACCAAACAAAATAGGTGTGATTACACTTGCCTATAATGTTACAGGCAGGAGTGACAGGTGTTCAAAGTTAGCCTTGGCTTTATATTTAGTTTGAGGTCAGTTTGGCCCACAAAATATAGTCTTAAGATTTCAGAAGATATACATTTTTAAAAAGTTTTGATATAAATATATATTTATGTATGTGTGCTTGAGTATGTGTTTGTACACCAGGTGCAAACAAGAGTCCTTGGGTTAGAGACATCAGATACAGTTGTGGGATGCCATATGGGTGCGGGAGAACTGAACCCAGGTCCTCTGCAAGAACAGCCCATGCTCATAACCACTGAGCCATCTCTCCAGGCAGAAAAGAACACATCTTGGTCTTTTGTTTTGTTTTTGAGGCAAGATCTGAATTTATAGTGCTGATTAGGCTTAGAAGTCAGAAAGCTTGCCTACCTCTGCCTCCTGAGAACAGAGATTAAAGATGTGTACCGCCACAGTTGAAAGAAAACAAAACAAAAAAATGAACATCACAGTTTTTTCCCCCCTGAAACAGGGTTTCTCTGTGTAGCTTTGGAGCCTGTCTTGGAACTGGCTCTGTAGACCAGGCTGGCCTCGAACTCACAAACTCACATAGATCCGCCTGCCTCTGTCTCCCAAGTGCTGGGATTAAAGGTGTGCCCCACCACAGCCTGGCCATTTTTCATTTGTTAATGATTCTCAAGTTCGAGTAAAAGTAAAAGTTACCATGACAAAAGTGTGTATCAGAGCCAGGTATGGTGGCACATACATACTTATAATCCTGGCCTTTGGCTGATGCAGGAAGAGTGTAGAGCTAACGAGCTGTATAAAGAGTTTAAGACTAGACTTCAAATCTTACTGAGGTCTTTCTTTTTTTGTTTTGTTTTGTTTTGTTTTTGAGACAGAATTTCATGTAGCTCAGACTGACCTCAAGCTTGACATATAAAAACAACTTGGACTCTGTCACCCAAATGCTTTCAAATGTTAAAATTACCAGTACCTACCTTCTCATCTGTCTCTTTTGAGACAGGATCTCACTAAGTAGCCTTGGCTGTTCTGGAACTCACTATGTAGACCAGGATGGCTTCGAACTCACAGATGTCCACCTATTTATTTATTTGTTTGTTTGTTTACAGAGGGCCTAAAATGCAACATTATATTATCTTTCTATGGGATTTCAAGATGTGTTCTACAGAAATTTCAGCCTTGGGCGGGCTCACTTAAAACTCCTTGCAGGGATGTTATAGAATATTATTTTAACTAGGCAAAGATGTGTTGCTTTCATTTATGCTGCATTTGTTTAATTATGGAAAGATGTGTTGCACTTGCTTCATCTTGGCTGACTGACTGGCCTAATAAAGAGCTGAACAGCCAATAGCTGGGCAGAGAAAGGATACGTGGGGCTGGCAGGCACAGAGAATAAAAAGAGGAGAAATTTAGGCTCGAGAAAAGACAATGAGAGGCAGGAAAGAGAACAAGGGACTTGGATAAGAAGCTAGGCAGACACCAGCCAGACAAGACACACCCGAGGCAAGAAGCCAGCCAGATGCCAGCCAGACATAGAAAAGCAGAAAATAAAATACACAGAAGTAGGAAAGGTAATAAGCCCCAAGGCAACAGGCAGATAAAGAGAACAGGTCAATTTAAGTTAAAAGAGCTAGCTGGAAACTAGCCTAAGCTCGGCCCAGCATTCAAAACTAATATAAGTCCCTGTGTCATGATTTGGGAGCTGGTTGGCCAAAAAATAAAGAAAAAGCCTGGTACAGAGGGGAAATAGCTCCCCACCCACCCAGTTTTGGGCATTGAACCTAGGGTCTTGCACATACTACTCAAGTTCTCTACTACTTAAAAACACCCCCAACCTTCCCAGTAAAAAAAAAACAGGTAGTAAGCTGGGCAGTGGTGCCGCACGCCTTTAATTCTAGCACTCAGGAGGCAGAGGCAGAAGGATCTCTGCTAGTTCCAGAATAGGCTCCAAAACCACAGAGAAACCTGTCTCGAAAAACCAAAAAAAAAAAAAAACCAGGTAGTAAAGTAATATGATTAACAGAAACTGAAAACAGAGTGGTTTGCAGTGGCTGAAAGGAAGAAATGGGGGTTATTGTTTAATGGGTCTTGAGTTTCAGTTCGGCAATAGGCAAAAGTTCTAAAACCTGTTGTACACACAAGGTGTATAGTTGATACGACGATACTGTACATTTAAAAAGTGATGTTCAGTTCCCAACACACACAGAGCAGCCGCCCTCTTCTGGATTTTGCCAGCATTGCATGGGCATGGTGAGCAGACATACAGACTGGCAAAAAACTTAAACACACAGAAAGGAAGGAATCTTAAAAATATTTGCACTAGGTTATTCATTTTATAAGTGTTTTTGCCTGCATGTATGTATTACACCATGTTCATGCTTTTTGTTCGTGGAGGTCAGAAAAAGGCGTCAGATACCCTGGAACAGGAGTTACAAGGCCTCTGTGTAAGTGCTGAGCAATCTAATCTGTGTATGTGTGTGTTGCATGGAGGCTGGAGATTGGTTCTTCACTAATCACCCTCCACCCTTATTTTTTTATTTTTGAGGCAAAGCTCTTATCACTCAGCTCTGACTAGCCTGGAACTTACTCTATAGACCAGACTGACCTTAAACTCACAGAGATTCCCCTGCCACGGCCCCCAAAGAAGTAGATCACTATACCCAGCTCCACCTGATTTTTGGAGACAAGGCCCTCACTAAACTTGGATTTTGGTGATTTGGCTAGACTGTCTGGTCAGTGGGTCCCAAGAACCCTCCTGCTGCTGCCTCACCTGCATTTGGGATTACAGATGTGAACTGCATACCTATTTAAAACAAAACAAAACAAAAACTAGAAAATATCATGCATTCTGGGGAATCAAGATCAGGTCCTCTTGCTTGTTCAGCAAGCACTGACTGACTGAACTGTCAGTTCTTAAGAATCTACATTAGTATTGTGTTTCTCACCTCCTCTCTCTCTCTCCACCCACACAAACACAGTAGCTTAGTTTTTAATAAGCTTGGTAAATTATATCTGTGAAATTTGAAATATAAGCAATGTCATTTTACTGGCAATGCCTGAACTTTCAAAAATAAAGCATTTAAATACAGAGACAGAGAAACTCCTCGTCACTGGTTTCACCCACGGGTTTCTGATCAGACTTCAGATAAAGTGCAAAGCACACAGCCTTGTTTGAACTGCTCACCTTTCACGTGCTGCTTTCGATCTGATTGACTGCAAGACACAGTAGCATCACTCCCATTTTATATTTCTGGTTTGTGTCTTGTTTTGAGACAAGGTCTCACTATGAATACAGGGTGACCTGGAACTCACTATGCAGATCTGGCCTAGAATTCATGAACCTCTTTGCCTGGTGTTTAAGTTGTGTACCATTATGATTACGCCTCTACCTCAGTTTAATGTTTTGTGTTTGCAGTGATAGAAATGGAGCCCAGGACCTTGCACATGCTAGGCAAGCATTCTACCACCCAGCTCCATCTCTAGCATCCCCATTTCAGCTTAATTACCTCTTTCAAGTATTCCAGTACTGAGTTACACACATAGGACTGGGTTGATTTTTTTGGGGGTAGAGGGTGTCTCCTTATGTTATCCGAGTTGGCCTTGAACTCCTGAGGCCTAGTGATCCCTTCTGTCTCTCAAATAGCGTGGAGGATAGTGTATAACATTGGACATGACTAAAATTCTCTTGTACACATCTTTTCCCAGATGGAGTTTCATGTAACCCAGACATGCTGATGTCCAGTTTACCATATAGTGCAGGAAGATTATATAACCCCAGGAAGGGATCCTATCTTAGTTAGGTTTTCTATTGCTGTGAAGAGACACCATGGGCACAGCAACTCTTATAAGTAACATTTAATTGGGTGGCTCCCTTACAGTGTCAGAGATTCAGTCCATTATCTTCACAGTGGGGAAGCATGGCGATATGCAGACAGAAAGTCAAGTGAGACACTAGGTTGTATCCTGAGCATAGGAAACCTTCAAAGCCAGCCCCACCATA